TTTTGTTCGGTGCACCCGCATCTCCAGAAGCAGACATGAAATATGCAAATCATCCTTTACATCAGGCCTGTTCGCCTCTGGTTTTTCACACTGTTCACCAGATAATTAGACTTGATTAAGGTTTTAAAGCTGCGCTGCTTCAGGCCTGATTGTGGTGATTGCAGCGTTCCCGTACGAGCTGGGTGGTGGAGCGATTTGCATAGATGTCGTCGGAAAGCGTGTCACTGCAGCAAAGACTGCGGATGAGCAGAGCCACCGACTGTAGTGACACCATTTCTGAAAAATACCAGGCGCTTATGTTGAGGTTTAATCCAAACATAATGTTGGCTGTTTATGCTTCAGTGTAAAATCTCCTGGCAGCTCACTGTCCTCTTTTGTTTTGTTCCTGCAGTGCTGCTAATTCCTGCCCCTCCAGCCCTCGGGGTGCGGGCTCCTCAGGCTACAGGATGGGTGGTCGCATGGTGAGCTCTGCAGAACTGCAGCTCATAAACGACAACTCCCAGCCTGAGAACGATAAAGAGGCCTCTGGAGGGGACAGTCCCAAGGTGAGAATTCCCACCGCGCTCCAAACTTCAGCCTTGGTCCAACATTTAATCACTTATTTCACTTTCCTGCGTCACACTTCACTTCAGACTATGTAACCCATTCCTTGCTGCCTTGCTAGATATCTTTTATGGATAACATTCATAGGGCATGAATATGGTTCTTGAAATATAAAATCATAATCCTTTAACTCAAAATGCAAATTATTATTGATGTTCACTCGTGTATGTGTGATGTGTGGTGATTTATAGTGAAACAACCTTTTTATTAACCTGATGGCATCTGAATGCCTCCTGGTTCGACCCTGAATTAGTATGTGCGTCTGAGTGTATAACCTGCGATGCACAGTTCGTGCTGGCCTGCGGGCTCTCTGCGGATGCCCCCACGGGATGAACCGTTAGACTTGAAGCCAACAACCGACTCTTGCGTGCCTCTGAAAGCAGATGGTGAGAGTGATAAAGGCAGCTGCTGGCAGCCATCAACAGTCCTTCCACAGGTTCACCTATTAACACCTGATGAGTTTAACTTCTGACCAAAGAGTCTCTTTTGGTCGTCTCAGCTGCACTAAATGGTGACGAGCTT